TGTAGCTGTGGTGGTGTAATACCTGCATGTACCCATACAAGTGTCATAATGAAAGGACTCGTTTCAGTCGCTCTTTCATCGTGTACATAATATATTTGTGTGTGTGTTTTTGCCGTATACAGGGATACCTCGTCGATCCATACAAATGGGCGTGATTTTTTTTGTTTTTTTTTGTTTCATTGACCGGGGAGCTTTCAGCCCCGAGAGTTTGGACAGGGGAACTGTACATCCGCAGCATCGATCACATATAGTTTCCAAATGCCGGTGAAATGGAAAAGCGCAGTGTGTCCTTGCTTTTGGCATTGGAAGTGCAAGGTGTCGTATACGTCCCAGGATTCGCGGCGCATGTCTCGTACATCGATCACACGAGTCACGACAGCGGAATAAGGAACGAGTGTGCGATACAAAAGGCTGATTCAAAGCCGGAGGAGTGAAATAAATATATATATATATATATTTTAATTTGTCGATCTATCGGTGTTGTACGTTCATAGATGAATACATTTTATTGCGAGTCACGACCGCGGTCGAGAGCGAAACGCTGCTGGGTATTTGTTTTCCTTCGTGAGTTATAATGTACGCTCGTTTTTCCGACACGCACACACGTACACGTGAGCTACGATTGTTTAAACAATAACAAATGGCCGCAATCATAAAATATATATGTTGGAAAACCTTATTTTCTCGTGTCTCCGTATATAATACGTTTACGCAACGCGTATACTTGTTTTACGAATGCGTCGTTGGAATTGACGGTTGCACAAAATAAAACGCGTTGTGCCGAAAGCCAGAGTATCGCTTGCGTATATTTATATGACCATCGTGACGAGCGCGAAGGAAATTACATTGCAAGCCTGTGCTGTGCCGGAGCCGACGTTACGTGTATGATATATATACCTGATCGATGATTTTGCGTTCCTTTGTATCGGTACGAAATTCAATTTCATACCTATAAAAAACATCGAGGTCGAGAAAAACAATAACCTCCTCGAGAGGAGCAGTCGTCCGGAGAGGATACAGGAGATATAAAACAAACAAGCGTCGTTTGAGCGTATAAAAAACCATTCGCCTTTTCCGCTGTTGCCCCGTGGGATTCCCCTTTCTCTGTACTCCTCGTGTATAAGTACGAGGGACATGTACATATCATACATGTGTGTGTGGTGTTCGGGTTGTACGAGGCGTGTGGTGCAGAGGATACTGGAAAAACATAGGGACACGCCTTACACGTGTCCGCGCCCACGCGAGACTACCACCTATGCTGTAATACCACTATGCCAAGACGGCGAGGGTGCAATTTGCTCGGACGATGACACTTGTAAGGACCCGCTGACGTGAATTACCTACGACGGAGGGTGTATAGTGGATGATACGTATGGATACTCGCGTCCGTGTGCAACCTAACGTTTTGTTTTTGGCCCCTGAGGGTAATACTTGTTTTGCTGTGGTCGCGTCTCCTCTTTTTTGTCTTATTCGCTGGACATTGAGGTGGACGTGCATACATCCGGGACTCCCCTGAAGTTTTCTTAAGCGGGAAATTTCATTGATCAATTCTTCCCCGGAAATATACATATATATATACATCTACGGTGAAATTTCAACTCCATTTGCTCGTATTAATCATCACTGATCGCGGTGAAAATATGTACAAGTACATAATGTATATGTATGCGTCGCAGTAGAGCCATTAGGCGAGAATATATACAATTTATATGAGGATAAACAAGGCGTTTTGCAGAAAAAAAAAAAAAAAGATTCGCGGCATTTCCTCGCTTTATTGCCGCGCGATTGGAATAAATTGATCGCTCGTCCGGTTCGCGGTATAAAGTTTACAAACGAGTTTATTCGATGCATTACGTTGTTTTTCATGTAAATTTGAGAGATAAAAAACTCGTGCTCGCTAAAACTACGTTTCCGCCCTTTTTTTTGTTTCGAAACAAATAAAAAAAGAGAAAAAACACGTATGAAAGTGTGTGGAGATAACATTAATTTCCATGAAAATTCGTCAACGCCAAACGGAAAATAAAGCTGGGTATTTTTTTTTTCCCATCAAGCCTGCTCGAATTTCCATCAAAGAGCAAACATCAATTTTTTTCCCCCATTAATCATTCCATTTGGCTCGTATCTGTACATTCCATGAAAAAGCGACAAAAAAATATATCTTTTTGCACACCCGCATCCACGAAAATCAATTTCACAAGCGGAGATTGATTTTTTTCTCTTTAATTCTCGTTTGACCCACTTTTTATTCGGCGATGAAAAAAAAAAAAAAAAAAAAAACCCTATACACACAGCGATAAAGTAACCCGAGTTATTTCCTTCCGCGCGTGATCGTAGCTTCCCGAAAAGCCGCCCCTGCAACTCCAATGGACTCGTATAGGTACGTGCGCGTGCATATAAAGTCCATCAGACACGCACATATGTAGGTATATTGACCGAGAAACAGATCAATACACGCGCTCTTGCGTTATGAAAGAAGAGAAAAAAGTTCAGTCCATCAGCTGGTATGGTCGTATACGGTATTTTTCAAGTATGAAAGTATACTGCATGGACACTCGAAGGCAGGGAGTATAGAGAGAGAGAGAGAAGTGGGCAAGCAGACAGACAGGCTCGTTGATTTCGCAAGTGGGCTGAAATTCTCAATGGCTCTCCTTAGAGAGGAGGGGATCGGGCAGCACTTGCAAAGTTGAAAAGAGAGCGAGAGCAGAGGTGATAAGGCGAGAAATCGTGCCCACGGCCTGTGTGGTGCGAATGAGACATCGTGCGGTCGTCTTAGGTATACGTGTATACGAGAAAAAGGAGCCGAGGTTGTGCGATACTATAAACATGTTCTTTTGTCGAATCCTTTTTTTTTTTTTTTTCACGTATTGTTCCGACAGAGAACTGGTGGGTATGAGGTAAGGGTGCAGTTTTACCATTGATTTTCATGGAATCACCGTTGATAATACGTGTTAACTGAACAGTGATAACTTGAAAATTCATTTGTTTAGTACAAACTCATCATGCTTTTTTTATTCATACAGATACTCTTTTTGTTGTCTTTAATAAATTATCAAGGGTTTGCTAATATTATTGATTGTTCAACCCTTGGAACCAAAGTTAAAATTGTAAAAGATTTAAAACTTATCATGAATGAAAACTAGAGATTGAGTCGACTCATCAGGTTTCCCTCAGCGCACGCCCTACCGTGACTTTTGTATGTTTTTCATCGTGGCTCAAACAATTTTGTTTTCACGCTTGAAAAAACACGTGTAGCATCCCTCGCACACGCCTCGACATAACTCGCGAAAGGAGTCTACAAAAATCGTTCTACCTTGACTCTTGAGCTCTTGATTCTTTTTAGTGTTTGCCTCGGTGTTTGCTTGCGAAAAAAAACTATGCCAAAAACGTTTAACGACTCTCGGTGCGGGAATAATAAAAAAAAAAAAAAAAAAAAAAGTTACAAAAAACTCGTGTGCGTAATACGTACGTCGCCATTCAACCGAATCGAGCACAAAAACTTCAAACCCCCGCACACACACTGGCAACAGATGCGTATTCGGTTGAAGTGCGCGCAAAAAAAAGCCCTCAAAGCCGGTGAAACAAAGGAGTGCGAAAGAAAAAATCCTACCTGGTTAAACGTATACGTAAAACAAACAAAAAAGATATCACTCCGTTTCCGATAGAGGTCAGACGATGGCGCGACAATTTTTCTTTTTCATTCTGCTATTAAAAAAAACCATCGCATCAGCGCTACGATTGCATACGTGGGTCTGTCATCGTATAGGGTTGTATATAACATCGCACACTCGCCAGCTTTGAAAAGCGTGAAATACTTACACCACGATCGCTGATAAAGTGATTCCCTGCTCCGATGACAATTAAACCACCCCCTCCCTGTTGAACGGTGATCGAGTGGCTGTACGGGTGTTGTAAAACGTTTATAGCATTGTACACCTGACGAGCTCATAGTACCACTGGTTTATTCAAAGGTATATGATTGGTTTCGCGAATTTCACGCCCGGCCGATCGGTATCGTTGTGCGTATACATTGTTATTTGTTGGCGATTAGAAATTGAGATCTATATGCTTTTTCAGAGTTCAGTTTCCCCCTTCTCTGTCGCTTCGGAACGTTTATAACGTACGGGGAAATAACTTTGTCGCGATGCATTGTTATTTTTGTTTTTAAATGATAAAAAGTGTTACGACCGTGTAATTGGTAGCTTTTCCAACGCCATTACGTATACACAAAACGGGATCTTCTTGATCAATCCCCCGCTATTCCTTTTTTTCTCTTTCTTTGTTTCAAAACAAAAGGTAATAATGTAACAGGCCGCACTTATTCGCTCGCACGCACCTCGGAAAAATTCGGCCCGAGAGCACGTAATGACCGGCGTCGAAGAAAAGTGCGAGGGGATAAAAAGCTCTCGATCCGTGAAAACACTCCCCGTCCGCGAGGGGAGAAAGCGAGAGGTTTTCTCGACCCGCGAGTCTTCATAGCTGGGATAATTGGGGTTGGCGGGAGAGACGATAATGCGGTTTTCTTATAAGGGCCCCTCTCGGTCTCCGGGTCGCCATACATATATAACATCGAGCTCAGTGGGTCATATTATTACAATGTGCATCTCAAGGGGAGGAAAAAAAAAATTGAGGCAGCTTTGATCAATGGGATTACGTGCAAAGCTTTTGTTTCCAAACGTATAAGGTACCCATACCCACCTTGGGTCGATATAAAATACTCAACGAGCGGCCGTCACGCGTTAAAACAAGGCTGTACGGCCAAAGCTGTTTGCTGACCCTACCCCATCGTGTATCGGACGTGTTTTCGTTGCAAACGCGATATTAGCCTCCTCAATCGTAACGACAACAACAATGGCCTCGAAGAAAATGACGAAAGTCCCGTGCCATATATATGTTACACTCGCGGTAGGTGTATACATCTCTCGTGTTTCCGTGGGAGGGGGTGGGGGGTAAGTAAAAAAAACAGCGGTAGCTGGTACGGAGAGCAAAGAAAAAATACTCACCCCTGAGGGTATCGGCGGTGGTTGCCAAGAGACCAAGGAGGCTCACGCTGTGATCGTGGATCTGGCTGTGGAAGTCCTCCTTGGCTTGCTGGCGCAGCTGTTCCTCCGTGTCCCTGTCGCAGCACCGGCCGTTGCAAATTGCTGGAAAATAAGACAATGTAACGTATACATGTGTATGCTTTGTGGTGATTTTTTTTTCCTCCCCCCGTCAACATTTTCATCCTGCAATGATCCACGCGCGCGTGTTTTACTGCATATACAGCCATTCGTCAAAGTTTCGAAGGGGTGGAGTATCGCGTAGGTGTACGTGTCCGATCGACAGTTGTGAGAAATGGGGGCCACATGTGGGTCAGAGAGGGAGCGTCGATAACCAGGGCATGGATAGAAGGGAAGGGCCAGACCACTGTGGATCCCAAGTACACGTGCAACAAAGCACCTGTATACACTGTACATCAAAGTGTCTGGTTCTATAGGGAAGGGAACAAAAAAAAAAAAAAACTTACCGATGCAAACAAGAAAAGGGGATGGAAAATTGAGAGGCCACTCGGTGGGGCGCTTACACGCTATATACCTCCCCGCGTATATATATCGAGCGGACCCATTGTACACGCCATTCGGCACGAATCGACTTCGCCGTGTCATCTAATCTACCTATAGGTACGCCCGTTCGCGTATCGCTTCTATTTCCTTGGCACATTGAGACGAGAAAGGAAAAAGAGGAGGAAAAGACCGAGCAGCGAAGGCACGTTAGGTATGCGCTTTCAATTCGCTCGTCTCTGCATATCGGCCGCTATCGCGCTCCGGAACTTCCGTACGCAGAGTCGGGAGGTGACACGTCAAAATTACTTATTTCATACATTTTACGTATACAGTCTGCTATTTTTATGTTAAATTTGTTTATTTGTTTTTTACGAATAAAGTGTCTATGATTGTGCAGTACAGCAACAAATTTAAATGGTTGTTGCAACTAACTTATGTATCCAGTTATTATGTTTGGTTATATATTTTCAATAGTTCAACTATACCAAACCTTTTTTTCGTGTACGATTGTCAATCGGTACTACGAGAGCTGAAATCGATTTTTAATAAAAACTATGTAGTATTGATAGATAATGATCGTTACGTTCGAGCAGCTCTGTTTCTTTGTGTCGAAAGAACAAAAAATTCGAAAAAATATACTTTACTTTTATATTATTGGGAGTACTTGAATTTTTCGATTCGTTTGAAAATAAAATTGAATTATACTTTCCTCACTTGAGAACGGATGCTAAAGTATTTGAAAAACTTTTTCAAAATAATTGGACCTGGACTGACCAAACGTATTTGCAATCACTGGACACTGTGTAAAACCCCTTTTTAGAGTCTCACCTCGTGCCGTTTTAATGTTCATTAATCAACGTCCGTGATGAGTTACACAAAAAGCTAAAAAATATTGTTTTAAAGTTTTTTTTGTCAAGAAATCAGAATTCGGTGGTAGAGGGAACAGTCTCTCTTGACACAGTGACGTTCAGCAAGCTTTTTCCACCCCTTACTTTGGGAGAGAAAAACGTGAAACGACACATCCGTAATTGAAAAGCCACACCTTTGCACGATATTAAACGAAAGTCATTTTTACGGTTATAGAGGTTCAAGGTGCAGGGGAAAGGGGTAGTAGACAAAAACTCGTCACATCATGGAACACACATTATTTTATTTACCAAAACGATTCGAATGTATACACGTACACTTTATATTTTTTATTATTGACGCAGCATCCCCAGCAATTGACGACCTCTACCAAAATCATCGAGTCCCATGAAATTGAGGCCCCACGGCAGCGACAAAGTCTCAACGTGGCTCGAGCTTGTGAACATTATAGTCACACTTGTGCCTCTCGAGGACAGTAGGTGTGGTGTAAGTTCTCTGGCACCGGCCACACTGATACCTGTGCTGGGTGTCCATGTGCTTGAGAAGAGCGCCGCAAGTAAGGAAGCTTTTCAAGCACGCGATACATGGGTGATTGTGCTCCAAGTCGAAGTGACTCTGAAGAAGCTCCCATCTGTTGAAAGCCTGCAAACACACGGTGCAGCGGTGGTTGTGTCGGGTAGCCATGTGCGTTTCAAGATCACTGCTTTTGGTGAAGGTTAGATGACACAAGCTCACAGGGCACCAATAGGTCAGTTGGGAGTAGTACCGGTCCACTTCAGCTCGCAGATCGATAGCTTCGTTCGAGGGATCGGAGGAGGGTGAGAGGGTGCCGCACGAGCACAAGTAAAACCTACGCTCGTGGGGGACAAAAGTTGTCTTACACCTGTCGCAACGATGCCATTGGTGTGGGTAGTCCCCGGCATCGGCCATGTTGGCCAGGGTAACAATCCTTGGTCGCTGGGTCGAGATGATACGGCGATGGCACCTTGAGTGTGGAGAAAAAAAGAAATCTTGTGTCACGTCTCACGAAAACTTTTGCTTCGGCTAACCTTACCTTTTCACATCACCAGGTGAAGACGAAACTACGAATGGTGCCATTGAACGTTCAGATAACAAAATCAGTTTCTAAGTGTTAATCGTTTTCACATTTGTGGTCTATAACTACGGCCAAACCGATACGTCGTTGATTATACGTACTAATGAGGATTTGTTCTAAACACTCTTTTTTCCAGTGTTAACAGTCATAATAGCACCTCGAGTGTGGCTCGACGAAAAATAATGATTCACTATAGCAAGGTTAGACCTTCAATTTGATGGGTTTGACGATTCAAGGTTGTCTACTCGAGTACTTTTCGTACTTGTTTAAAAACATGTATAGGTACTCGATATTCTTCTACGCAGGTGATTACAAGAAAAAATTTCAATCGTGTTTTGTCGATTTACATTGTTTGGATTATCTATAATGAAACAGTTTTGTTCTTTCTCTCTTATATTTCGTCAGTGAGGTGTATATTTTATCACCGCACGCTTACAAAATATACACTGGTATCGTTAAAAAAAAAGGTTTTAACACTCGATAACTTTTTTTGCCGTGTCCCTAAAATTTTTATTCCACGTTAAAAATTATGATTATTCAATCGAGTGGATAAATGTATGTAGTTGGCTTCAAGTCTTTTTTTTGTTTATTGTAAATACATAAGAAAGCTTGAGCTTCAAGAAAGCTCCGATCAAAATGTAACTCTATACAGTGAAATTTCACAAAAAAAAAATTCCTTTAAAGAAAGATGTAGTAACGAAACTTGGAAAAATGCATATAAAAACTATATGATCAAACGTAAAAAAAGGTAATACGCGTCAACGAAACTGAGAAACAAAATAACAACAAGGTGCACTTGACACTCGGCTCGGGACTACAAAGCGTCCGGCAAGACGCGCGCGCGACGTCGCACTTGAAGACACATCCGCGTCTCGAAAAAAAAAAAAAAAAAAAAATCACGACAGAGTCCCAACTACGACATTCCGCGTGTATAAAAGCTCCGGCGTGCGTCCCAACCGGGGGGGATTGAGAGAAAAATGCGTGACGCGGCAAAAGAGAAAATAAAAGGAGCGCAAGTGTGGAAGAACAAGTGCAACTACGACGACATTGGCATCACGGCCGTATCAGCAGGGGTGGGAAAAAAAGCGCGAGCCATACGTATAATACACCCGTAGGTATAGTGTCGTCTGCGTCGAGAGACTTTTCTCCCATTCATCCACCCGGAGGGAGTAGTTTTTCTCCCCTCTGCTGGTTGTCCGTCCAAGTGTAACTATATGTTTTCATACCTGTAGTGGTCGCAAAGCCTACGACGTATTCTCTTGTAGTTTTTTTTTTTTCAATTCGCAAGCATTTAGCTCGACTTTTGCAGGTAGTATAAAATACACGCCGGATGAGGAGGTTCGCTCGCTCAAAGGCAATTAATCCAATTAACAGCCCGATAGGGGCTTCGTCGCAAGAAAAGAGAAGAGCCTCGGTCGGCCCTTGCATGTTTTTTTTTTTTTTTTTTTTTTTTTTTTTTTTTTTTTTTTTTTTTTTTNACACGCCGGATGAGGAGGTTCGCTCGCTCAAAGGCAATTAATCCAATTAACAGCCCGATAGGGGCTTCGTCGCAAGAAAAGAGAAGAGCCTCGGTCGGCCCTTGCATGTTTTTTTTTTTTTTTTTTTTTTTTTTTTTTCGTTTTCCTTCTCGTCTCGTCAATTAATTTCATCCGCGCAAGAAGCGCCGCGTCGCACGATCCTCGCGTCGTCTCAATTTTATCACGCTGCGCGTACGCGACCAAGATTATGATGTATACTTGCGTTCTATGCGGCGGGATGAAGAGATTCTGCTTTTGTAGGGAGCAAGGTATGCCTACCGGAGTCGCGCACTGCTCGAGGTTGCGAATTGTGAATTTGATTGTTTATCACTGGGCCAAAGGATATACGATATCCTTGGGAAGAAAAAAGAATGAAAATATTTACGTGTGCCCCTGATGGTGAAAATAAGCGTGATTCCTCGCCAGCCAGCAGCAATAAAATTAACACGAGGCTGTCAAAATCCTCGCGTGAGTCTGCCAAGAGACGATTAAAGCTCGCGCCCAAGAGGAGAGGGTTCGTCTTGCGATATCGTGAATAAGTCAGCAGATGTGATGAGCAAGTCGACTATAATCCGTTGGCTCGTCCTTATACATTATGTATTCGTCTTTGCAAGCCAGTAAACTGTTCCACCTGCATTTTGGAAAATCGGATTAGTTGTGTACGCGCCACGTGTCTACGTCGAATCAAGCTCGTCTCCGAGACGCGGTACGTTGTGATTTCAAATCAACCGACAAATCCTCGTCGTCCGGGCAAAAGGATTGAAACTTGTGACGTTCTCAGGTGGGTAAGGAAATCCATTTTTCCGCTACAAAGCCACGCGGGAGCTTTTTCCTTGGACGCATTGTCGATCGATCTCGCCTCCCGAGGCAGCAGCGGAATCAGCGACCTCGCCTGCCGCTGCCGCCGCGCACAGGGTAATCCGTTTTATTAATCAAGCTCTTGAATCTCCCTCCCCCCCCCTCGCGCCTTGTCCGTTGATTTAGCGGCATTGATTTCCCTCGCTCGCTTCCTCTCGGAAATTTATTATGGCCGCTTCGCTGTACGAGAGATTTATACGCGACTCCGCCACTACTGGATATTGCTCATTTAGCTTTGATGACTCCACCGCGCGGATCTGCAC